ATATATATATATATACACACATCATCCTCATATTTCATGCCATGCAAACTGAATGGGTAAATACGGGGCCTATTGTCAGGAGCAACAGAGGAAAGAGAATGAAAATTCAATGACAGCAGGCTGGCCCCTCTCTTCAGGCAATCATGCAAATTGTCACCCATGCAGCACCTCTCTCACATCAACATCCACCCGTGCCGCAATTAATTCACCCCCTCAGAATTGTTAAGAAGCTCCAGCAAATTTCAAAGCCCTGATTTTCCAATCGATCCAATTTGTGCAGCATGATTAAAGGCAGAGAAGCAGAGTTGGTGGCAGAGGACAGGATTACTGCCTCAGCCAACGACCAGTGGGCACAAGAAATCACACTCTGTGATCTGCAAAAGCAGCTGTATTCATTTGGCTTTCATTAGGCTTGTGATTAGCAGGCCCCTGGCTAGCGGAAGCAAAGAACAAACAGCGTCTGCCTTGGCCCCTGACACTGCCTACTAAGTATCTGCCACATTTCACACCGAAAACAAAAACAAGTTGTGCAAAAAAAAACATGAAGGCCATATTAGAAATCCATTCAGAACCCAGAACTATAAAGCTGGATACTTTTGAATGCAATAATAAAAAATGCTTCATGACCCTTAAAGGGATATTTGGGGACATCTGGACCATGCCTAATGCGTATTTTGACATTTATTTGGATGTTCAGATCAAGATTCATGTTACTTAACAAAATTAACTAAACATATTTTTATCTTTAAACAGTAACTTTCTTTCCTGTCTCTCCCTTGGGCAACTGAATGTTTGATGTGGCGTTTGTGATTATCTTAAGTATGTACCTCTCATTTCATTCTTCTCCAAGTCTCTGAGCATATGGACAAAAGCCAGCTGAGATTCATCCAAATCCCAGCTCTTATAAAGCACCTCTGCCTGCACCACATACTTATGACCCTGTGAAACACAGACAAGCAAAGTCAGTGTGTACAACACCCTCATAGCAGTTTAAAACACAATGTGATATACAGATACACACAATACAAAAAAAGACATGCAACACCATAAAAACAAAGCCAACATGACATGCATGCTATTTTGTATTTTGTATTTTGTGAACATACAGCTGTAAACTGCACTAGTAATAATGACTAGGAAAGAGACACAGAGATCTTAAAGAACTGCATATTTTGTTTTTGCTGCTCTGCCCTCTTTGACAGAAGCACATGCCTGGCACAAAGGGAGAGACAAGGCAGAGGGTGTTTGGCCAAGATTATATCAGGGGTGGTAACTCCCACATCCATCACACTGAACAGAAAAGACAGAATTTCAACAAAATCCCAAGGTGAGACTCAAACTAATAAAGCAAGACTCATTTTGGGAAATTGGCCATTTTTTGAATTAAAAAAATGTTTTTTGTGTTATGTTTATGTTTATAGCTATAATAGAGCCTTATAAATGCACTTAGCAGAAAGTGACGGTTGTTATGAATCCATATAAACACCACATGTACATCTCTATACAAACAAAAGCCACAGTGACATTAGTTTGTTAAGGGTGTTTAAGGCATTGGCAGATTACATTGCAGGAGCCTTCAGCATTAATGCACCATTACTGAGCATCAATATATATATAAAATATAGCATCATGCTGTGTGTCCCTGCGGCACAAAACCTTGCTTTAATCACTGACCCTTAGCTGTTAGTCTTGATCAATGGTCTTAGTCCTGATCAAGAGCCGTTTACTCTGGCCTGCTGCTGATCTGATCCGTGGGATCTGACATGATCTGTCTCATTACTATTGATGTCACTGCACTTTTGGGTATAGGCTCAATCCACTGTTGTAAATGTCAAATTAATTCTAGTTATTCCTCAGGTGTAAGCAGTTACAAAGGGAACATTTAAATGATTGATTGGTCTCCAGATGTATCACTGGTGTCACTACAGAAACACAAATAAACCTTGTTGTTTTATAGGCCATAAAATGCATATCATACAATCAGTGTGTTTTTGTGTGTATATGAGTGTTATTGCACATACATATACTTTGGCAATCATCGAACTATGACAATAGGTCTGTTAGACCGGGGTTCTTCAGACAATCGAGTGACTCATAAATCATGCACAAATCGCTGCTCCCTGACAAGAACTGATAAGTCAGTCAGTAACAACAAAAGCACCCCTCCTGTTACTGCTGCTTTCCTCTTGCAAATTTTTGTCTGTGCAAGAATGCGTGTGTGGGTGTGTGTAAGTTCATGTGTGTGTGTGTGTGTGTGTGTGCACATGCCTGCAAGTAAGGCGTTATGTGTATCTGGCAGTGAAAAATTGATATCAACACAGGCAGCAAGCAAGTGGGTGAGAAAGACAGAGAGAGAAAGTGAGATGCACGCTTGTGTGCGTGTGCAAGTGAGATCAGTTAAGTGTTTGAGCAACAGCAGATACCACGCAGGCAGTTGTCAGTGATACCATAGTCTTTGTGGGAGGCTGTGACTGGTCCGACAAGGAGTCTGATTTCCCAGCTGTGCCGTTCTCCCCATCTCTTTGCTGTGAAGTGTCTACCACCTTGACTCCCTTGTCCTGGGTGGGGGATCCCTTCTGTTTCTGCTTATTCTCATCAGTGTGACTGGAGGCTGTAACAGAAAGACAGATATTAATCTGAGCCCATATCTGAGAAAAGACAAGCGTGGTCAGCAATCTGTCTGTTGGTAACTGATGGAAGCATCAACTGAAAAGCAGACTAAAGAGTTTGAGAGTTTTTGAAGAGCTCTTGTGTGTAGTGCCTCTACTGTCTGCCTGTATTTTACTGTTGATCAGGCTAGAATAGCAAAAAGCTAATGTAAAACAAAAAATACTCACTAACCATTATTTATGATATGATTTACCCATGCAGATAGTTCAGGTTTTATTTGTCCCAGTTTTTAGATACCTATTTCGTCCCTGGTTCAAATCTGGTCAGGGAGCTTTGTTACATGTCATTACCCTCTCTCTTTCCCTGCTTCTCCTGTCTGTATATCTACGGTCTGACTTTATCTACAGCAATTTCTCTTTCCAGAATCAGGGCGCCTGTTACTCTGGACAATCCACAGAACACACTGTATTAGCAGTTTTTACAGATAATATTTCTTTGACGAAATGAGGCTGAACACATTTTGTGAATTCAACCACCAGGATAGGTACAGTGGTTTTACGACAGGACAACTGCACAAAAAAAAGAGTAAATGAACCAGTTAAACCCTCTACTTAAGAGGTGGTAAAATCAACTAAACACTAATCCCAGCTCACTAGTGATAAGTTACACAACTCTAAACCCAAATTCAAGCTATTCGGTGTTCGGGGGAAGGTTATCATCACCAAATGCATTAATGTACTTTTAAGTGGCAGAGATAACACGTTTGCATGACAAATTGGAATTTGTGTCTGCAAACTGAATTACAACACCTGTTTAAGAGTTAATTAGATATATCTTAACCTACAAACTACTAACTACTGGTAGCATTTTACATTACAGCTCAATAATAACATGGTAATAGGCAGGTAATAGTTTTGGAAAAGAGGTAATAATTAATAAATTAATAATTAAGTGCTACTATGTAATACCAAGCTATTAACTAGTTATTATCTTGGCATTAACAATGCTTATATATGGGCAATATTAGACTGAAATGTATGTAATAGGGTGATAAGGGGGCAAAAACAAAGGATAATACAGGGAACACACATTTAAAGATAGCAATGAAGCAAAACTATATAATACACTACTATATAATAGTAGAGTAATATTTGGGTACCAATGAAATGGTTATAGCAGTGCAATATTTGGATTAAAAATGGTAATGGTGATATTAATGGGATTACGACCTAAAGGTTGATATTTTCACAATAATATAGGCTGCCATCACCTACCTATTCAATATTAATGGTTAAAATTCTAAACCTGCACAATTTTATCCCTCAATTACTGCTGTAAGGGAAATGGCTGCACATGGGAGCCCTGCTGTTTTGATGTCTGCTAGATGTGTTTGTGTGTTTCATATAAGGGTTGCAAAAAGTAAATGTTGTTAGTGAAATGACTAGAAAAATCCCCCCAAAAAAGACTGCGGAGCAAAGTTTGACAATCTGGCCCTTGACCATGAGGTTAAGTATTAGAGTGCTATGTTTATCAAAGATGAAAACATACTGCAGATAATGTCTAATTCTAACACACGGATAAAGAGTCAGTCTGATAAATCTTCTCCAAAAGATTTTCATTTATCAATTACTTCTATTACTAAACCTAATGACTGCTCACCCTTGTTTGCCAGGAAGTTGAACACAGGAATTACCACCTGGCCCTTCCCCCTGTTGCTGGCCACCTCCTTCTCCTGATCCAGAATGGACAGATGGATCAAAACATCTGGCTTGCAAGTCTGAAACTGAATTGTTCCTAGGACGTCTGCTGTCACCTGCACATGGTAACTGTTGAAAAGTTTCAAATGATTGTGGGTATCACAAAGAGGCACACATAGTCTCCTTAATGTTGTCTTGTATTAGAAAATGGGGCTTCCTGGAGAGGCTACCCATGTTATGTTATGTTTTGTTATGTTATGTTATGTTATGTTTATGTACTCTTTGACTGTCTTTCCAATGATATTATGCATCTTAGATTCATAAAATGTAGTGTAAGTAAGTTGGTCTGCTGTTGTTGGACAGCATTTATTTTTATGATACATTCCTCAATGACTATCAAATGACCAGTATGAATTCTATGTTGATTTTCTTACCGACATATGATGTTTTTGTCATTGGGAATATAATAATCCCGGAATTCCCTCACTGAGAATGTGTTGAGTGGAGTCTCACAGGACAGTTTTGGAAGGAGTTCCCTTGAGCCAATCAAGCGCATCCTCCACTTGGCACCAACAGGGGGTGACTCAGGTGTGACAGCCTCTGCTACAAAGGTATACCCAAGCTGGAACAACCGATACAATAATAATAATTTAATCATCAAATCAAAATATTTTTTTAAGGTGTGAGACTGATGTAAATATGGAAAAGAACACTAAGGATAATAATATAAACATCAGGAAGGGAGTATTCCTAAAGTGAAGCAATTTATCATGGTAATAGGAAACAGAGAAGAAAGTACATTGCATCCACAGACCTTGTTGGGTTTATAGACATGGGTCGCTACTTTGTTGAGGACCATGTCCAGCTCCTCTCCTGTGTCATTATTTATGATGTGCAGCAGACAATTAGGGATTGGGGAGTAGACCTTTGGTAACAGCAGCATCTCTTTAGGAACCAGGAACACCTCTCTTCACAAACAACAAAAATGAAGATAACAAATTCCACAGTCAGGCCAAATTGTAGATGTCTTCCACTGTTTTTGTTAAATGCTGAAATGTAATGTTACAGAAATATTTACATTTTCCGTTATTAGCTTTACAGAGAGGAATGTGAGCTGACTACACTGATCGAAGTCAACCTTAGTGACATTTGGTGAGAAGGGGGCATTTGTCATTAACACCTGGATTCACTCAGACTTTCCAAGCCAGCCAGGGAATTCTCTTTCACTGACAAGCTTAACCTTTAAGTTATAATGGTTTCTAACCTAAACACCAAGACCCAGGAGTTGGCTGTGTCTTGAAGAGGGACAGAGTAATCAGCGAAGGTGATTCTAGTCCATTCATCCTGCTGACAGGGATAGAGCTTTGCTTTCCTCTCCGAGTGGTCAATGATATACCTGTGCAGAAAACACAAAAGGGCAGAGGACATTTACAAAATTAAAATTAAATGAAGACCACGACAAAATCTATTGTGGAAAATAATTTAAAACTTCTTGGAGAAAACAAAAACAAAAAAGAAAGTAGATGCACTTCACGTCTCAGCGACTGAAGTAACTGACTTACTGACTGAAGTGGATGTTTCCATTAGTTCAGAAAAACACATGCTCAAAGGCTGACAACCCCCCCATTCCACCCTCAGCACACACATTGACCAAGCTCTCCATGCTCATGCACACACATACTTCCCCAGGCAGCGGGTCATTCGGCAGACGCTGCTAGCCGATTGGAACGAGTAGAGGATAAACAGCAGATGGTACCACTGGGAAAAGATGGAACACAATGTGGAAAATGCTCCCTGCCTGGCCACCACAGGCCACCACAACCAGGAGAGGGAGCAGATTCTGGGCATGCGGTGCAACAGGGAGGCTAAATGCATGCCATGCAATATACATAGCACTGGCACAGGACTGTAGTAGGAACCCTGATATTCTCTCAGATTACGACATTCGTGAACAAATACGTGCTAGGTTTATAAGGTGTGAGGTGTTTAGTGTATACAATTTATGCATTGTGTACACATTATTTGATAGCATTCAGAGTCATTATGATTATACATTTTTATCCCTTATTTACCGTAACAAGAAGGCAGCATTTTTTTCTGCATCTGATTCAACCTCTGGCCACATATCTGAAAGGGTCTTAGATGCAGTGAGGTTCTCCTTTGTACCTGAATGACACACACACACACACACACACACACACACACAAAAGTAGCCACCATTAAAGATGAAAGACAATCCATGTTGCTGTCAAACACATGAAAAAATGATTGTAGCTGACCTAGTTCAGGGTAGGAAACTGGAATTGCAAAATGCATTTTTGCCTGATTCGGTGAGAGGTGATAGGAGGAGATTATTCACACCTTGACATTAACTTTCACACTCATCTCACCAGACAGGTAACCACACTGACAGAACAGAACCTTTGATGAAAGATGTAGCACTATGTCTTCATGAGTATGTGTGTGTCAGTAAGTGTGTGTTTGTGCATGCAAGTGAGAGAAATACTCCGAAGAGACAGCAGCATGATAGATGTTTTCACATCTGACATGTGGCATAGGTGTCCTCACATCCTCCCTTTACCCCTCCCTCCATAGTGCTCAGCTCTCCCTTTTCAAATGGCCAATTTTCCAAATTGATGCAGCCATTTTAGTGGGCCATGGCTGGCTATTGAGAGATGAAGACCTTCTATTATCTTTATAACCAAAGACAGGCAAAAGACAGACAGAAAAAGAGGCAGACAGGAAAGAGTTGAAGGGGGGAAAAAAGTAAAAAAAAGAGCAAGGAGAACAGAATTGTACAAAAATGGGGTGTGAGCAGTTTGTCCGTGTGTAATAAACAGATGTTCTGGGGAATTTGACCATCTAAAATAAGACTTTTCTTACTTTCTTTTAAATGAATGGTTAAGTATAGTTAGATAGGCAGCGTTTTGCTATCGCTGTAAATGCCACTCTGGAAGCTGCACTTTGTGCTTTGACTAGTAAATGAATAGAATTTGAGAGAACGTTACTATGACAGGCCTATTTGATACAAGTCAAGCTGTTCAGTCTGTGCATGTCTGTGTGCTCATGCTAATGGCACATACCCAGAAGCAATATTTTTTTGCGTTGCTGGCAGATGGGTTCTATAATGATGTGGATACTTTGGATGTTTGGCATGCTCATATCACAATTTTAAGCCACACAAAATAGGCACAGCACAGTTTTATGCAAATACTACATTAATGAGGCTGTGCATGGTCCCATATGTGCAAGTTATTCAGAGGGTGAGAGGGTCATGTGTTGTGCCTGGAGAAGACACAGTTAGCTTCAGGTCGTGGCAATAAGTAGAGGATGTCTGGGCAACGTGTCACCTCCAGTGTTTCCTTCAAACAGTGGTGCACCTTCACAGTAAGATAATTACCACCACCTCTGGAGAAATGTGGATATTAAAAATAATTTAACTGAGAAAAATTGCCTGCAACCTGCACAAGAGCATAACGGGCACCGAAACAAAAACATAACATTATTTCAGAACAGAACTTATGAATAAATGTACAATGTCGCTATGTCTCTCTATTCAATCTGTCACTTTCCTACAAAATGTCCAGTGTTTCCATGTCTTATCCTCCCCATCTTTCACTTGCTGCCAATATTGGAAGGTTTAGCTGCTGATGCAGGAACGTCGTGTGCACGTGTGTGCGTTTCGTATGTGTGTATCCCCTCTGTGGCCACCCCTCATCTGTCAGGGTGTATTAGTAAGAGTGGCAGTCTCATCAATACATATTTGTGCCTGCTCAGAGGCTCAATACATGCCATCGGGCTAAATCAAATAGAGAATGTAAGAAGCAGAAGGTGTTTTGCATGTGTGTATGTTTTCAGACACCAAATAATAATCCACAAATGAAACACATTCTGTTGTTTTAGTGTTTTTCCTCCTGATTTTGCCCCTTTTGCTTTCCCAGTTGTTGCAGGTGTCTTTCAAGAGCACAGAAGAAGAAAGCAGAATTCAAGACGGTCTAATCAGAAGTTAGTACTTGCAACTATTCAAATGAAAGATAAAACCTGATCATGATTCTTAAATAAACACATTTTCTATACGTGTATGGATGTGTTTACCTGGTTTTGAGGCATTAAAGATCTCTCGCACCAAGTGCCCTTTGAATCCAGCCTGCAGAGTGGTGACTGCCTTGACCTCCCTGTCTGTTGGCTCCCTGTCTCTGCAGCTTTCTGGGTGCTTTGACTCTGCATTCACTTAAAAGAGTAACAGCAGAACATTACAGGTTTATATAGAAGAGTGACTTATGAAAACTGTTAAATATAATTTCCTATTATTGTTTTTAAAAATAGGAAATTATTTTGAATTTAACTCTTTATTTAAGTTAGTTAACTATTGTGTTTATTCAAAACTTAGAGGTAGAGTATAGTAGGTGTGATATGGTGTTGTAATCCACTGATATCAGGAGTTACATACACTGTAAAGGGAGAATGAAGAGGACAAAAACTATGATAAAGCTGTGATACTCAATATTACATAATTTAGGCATATACTCACAAATGGCACTTACATGTAGGGAAGTATTCTTTGTGGTCAGTGGCCAGGAGCGAAGGGTCACCCGTGAGGGCCAGTAGAGCAAACCGCTCCTCTGCGGTCAGCTTCCTGCCCAGCGCCTCACGCAGCATGTGGTCAACTGCACTGTTAAACACCTAAACACATACATTAAACACACACAATTGAGAGATGTTAGCAGTTGTGTGTCTGCACGTGAGAGTTCAGTGCGTAAGGGTGCTTAGGTCACAATTTGAGAGATAATTCATGACCCTCCAAGACAAACCCTCCTGTTCTTCAAGTAGGTGCATAGTTAAAACTTCATCGTCATTCTTTTTTTTCCCATTTACTTTCATTTAATTTATCCTTTTTATAATTTATCCATGGCCATTTTCTGGCAATCAAAAGATTGATAATAATGAACTTTAAAGCTCTACAGACATATTGAGTGAATTAAATTATTTGGGACAATGTGGCAATAAATTTAGTTATTTCGATATTCCAAAATGTAAGAAGTCTTGTAAAAGCTGAAAAAGGAAGCAGCTATAAGTATTAGTTTAGTACATTGTTAGTTTGCATCAGTCTACATCAAAATTGCGCAATTATCTGAAAATAAGGCAGACCGTTGGGCCAGGCAGAACTGATTATTGTCCATGCCTACTGAAAACAACTGTGAAATATTTAAATTCTAAATTCACAACAAAAAAAAAATGGCCCAAGTGGAATTGGTGATAAAATACTTTTGCATCCTTACAAAATAACTAAAATGTTGAAAAATATTAAATGTCATTTGTTGGCCGCTGTTGAGTAATTCAGGAGCAGTACAAGTATGGATTGTAAGTTTCTCTTACTTATTATTCAACCAATTACATGCTATATGGTTACAGGTGTACTACTAAATGTGAACTAAAGACTACATCTACATGTAGCAACTGTCAAATAATTATGAAGGCAAAGTAAAGTGAGTTCAAGTGAATTCACTGTATGTACATCACAAACGTGTACTGCTATAAGACCATAGTTAAACAAGCAACCTTGTGATGTTTTCCCAGGGAGGTGTTGGTGTTTTGGGGGCAGTACGCCTTTTCTAGCATTCTCCTGGCTGCTGGCTGGTCCTGCTCATCGCTAAAGGAAGACACCACTCTGGACAGGGCCCTAAAGATAGACGAGGCCTGCTCAGTGAAACGAGCACTTTCCTGTTCAAAAGAGGAGAGCAGTGGGGAAGCATTTTGTTTACTGTTGCAAATCAAACAGAATGCAAGTTAAATAGAACAGACAGAACAGTACCAATATATTTCAGTAAATAGACTGTGCTGGACTGTTGATTACAGACAAGATAAAGGCATATTTCTTTGTTTTTCTGAATATGTGTAACAATGCAGCCCAAAGTGATTCACTCAGCACCACAAACACCAGGCTAAACTTTAAGATAGCAGTGGCACTGACGTGCCAACATGTGATTCTGAATTGAAACTGAAGCTGCAATAAGTCCTATTCAAAAATGTTACAGCAAGGACATTGCAACAGGGGCAATTTTATGCTGTCTTTCTCTATGTTCAACCAAGCCTTTTTCTGTAGTTTTTCATGATTAAGGTTGAACAGGTTGTATATATTATTTCCTGTTTTTGTGTATTTCTTTTGTTTCTGCTCCAACAGATATTTGTTGTTCCAGGATTCCTTTGTTACAACACATATGCAGACTAAATATATCAAAAATATTTCCTTGAAGAAAAAAAAGGATCAGAGGAGTGTGCAGCCTTGGCAGAGGTATCCGTGCTCTGAGTGCTTTCTGGTTTATTTGTTTAGTCACCACTGTATTTCTCACTCACAAATTTCCCCTCTCAGAGCCTTTTTGTATGAGCGAGGAAGTGACTTGGAGACTTAAAAGCTAATTAAAGCAATATGCATATCAGCCCTTATGCTAGAAATTCACATGTTAATGTGTAACTATCTTGCAAATGACAAAAAAGGGGTAGACGGGATGTTATGTTGAAGGGATCCATATCTTGATTGGTCTGTGCGTATTTATACATAAAGACAAAGGAAAATGTCATATAATATTTCCTTTACTGTACATTACTTTAGTGTAGTGGACCCCACCCCCTAGTAGTTAAAATTTCACCCACGGATAAAGAAACAAAACTTAAATCACCTCTCAAATTCACAAAGACTTCATATGTTGTGAAATTACAATCAATGTCAACTGATTTGTTATAACTAAAGCCTTTGGTCACCTTGGTCAGATGCGGCATGACAGTTTCTTCATCCCCGAAGATGAAAGGTGTCGTGCTGCACAGGTGAATGTGGTAGCCCAGTGCCGCCTTTGCGTGGAAGGACAACACATGGCGTCTGGAGGGGAGAAAAAGCATTTTGACTGTAAATGACACTAAAACAGTAGTTCCCAATCTTTTTGACTTGTGATCCATTATAAAGACACAGTCTATTTGTGACTCCTTTTCGCAGGCTGCAAATAATTCTACCCAGTCAATCAAAGAGTGATTTTGCCTTCTTCGACAGTCACAAAAAGGTTACAAGTAGAGAAACATCAGAAAGAAAAAACTATTTGTGCAGCAGCAATATTTTCTTCAATTTTTCTATCTTGTTAGTCATCTCTCGACTTCTCAGATTTATCTTACAACCCCTTGGGATTCCTGACCAGGGCTAAGAACCACAGCATCAGTAGAACAAACAAATATTAGGCTACTAAATTTATGAGACTAAATGTAAGAGTGGACAGGTATCCCTCCCAACCACAGAGGAAAAACGGATTAAACAAGTGCATTCCACTGAATGAAATCCCTTTCTAGTCTTAATAGTGAATCAATGTTTCTGTCAAGTAATACTGAGCGGGTCAACCATTCAGAAGTGCTGTAGCCTAATGTCCTGTCTGCCAAGTGCCAAACTGAGTTCACAGGGCCTGGTCAGGCATGAAAGAGTGGAACCCCACTTCCTTGGCCCCATTAGCTTTACATAATTCAGCCATCACAGCCTAACTAGATGGATGAGCACTGAGGCGGAGCTGGGCTAGTGCAGTTGAAGAAGAAGACGACAGTGTACAAAAGGGAAAACGGATGAGAAAGAGAGAAAAGAAGGTGAAAAGTCTGAGTGAGAAGAAAAGACAAAGAGACAATAGGAAAGAGTGAAAGAAAGGGAGATGTACAAAGGAGGAAAGACAAAAACTTGGATTGGACAGTATGTTCAAAGAAGAAAGTACAAGTCAGTGGAGAGACTAAAGACAATAGCACATTGGCAAAATAGTGTACCACATAGGCTGACAGGGACATACAAAGACAAAAAGAGTAGTATAAAAATGCCAAAAGCCTGGACATACCAGCTATTTTCTCTTGGAGAGAGTGTACTATGGGGCGTATGGGCATGATAAGTTGAGTGCTATGTGTGTGATTATGGCTCAGTGGTAATTGCACTGCTGCATACCTGCACCTGACCCCAGAAACTAGGCCCTCTGCTTCTAGGCCAAGTAGCACCCATTAATAGCGACTAGGACAGATGCTTTTTACTGCTTTTCAGAGCATCTGAGGTAGGCAGATATCCCCTGCTCACTTTATGATAGCTTTAAGAAGATCTCTGCATAGCTGAAAAAATCACAACAAGAGTGAAACGCTTCCTTTCATCAAAAACTCCCAAAGGTTCTGTGCAGGAAACGCATACATTTTTAAAACAGGTTTCCATGATAGGAATTAAAGCTTTAACCTTGGCAGCATTTGTGCCGAGCTGACGAGCGCTAAGGGTAATTTAGGGTTATGAGTAAGAGTAAAAATGGAAAAATTTTGTGATGAAATATGAGGTGGGATGACAGTTTGTTTAGATACATATATAAATTATGAAAAAAAAAACTACCACATGAATTTCAAAAGATAATTAGACTGGTCAAAAGTTTAAAGCCGTGGCCTTGGTGAACAATATTTAATAAGCATTCCATGGTAATATCAAGATTTCAGTATTTTTAATAAAAGACATAAAAATCTAATCATATAACCATAAGAAATATTAGTAAGTATGAAATGGCATACTAAAGGATATACTGCTATGATAGCAGCAAATGGTTATTCTTATTAACATAAGTGTAACGTACATCACAGAGTCTAGGAACATAGATTTGTCATGCCCTAGTCTGTTACCCGCTTATGAACTTGATCAGTACAGTACTCAGTAATCAGTATTCATCAATGCTATCCTACCCTGGGGGTAAGTTAAGCATGGCTGCCTTAGAGGAGCTGGTCTTGATGGTGAGAACTGGCAGCTGAGACTGTAGACTTATCCAGGAGTATGACTGGGCGATGAGCACTGCAGATCCACATCCTGCTGACATTTCCTTTTCTATGAGTTGTTGTAGAGGGGGAGAGAAAAGGTGAATTGTTCACCCACCACAATGAAATATCACAAACAGATTAGGTCACATTCATAAAATGTTCATACACACATTTATGAATGTCTACATATACTGTGTATCACAAATAAGGTTATAGTGTATGTTTTGTGCATGCTTAGATAGAGAAATATAATTGCTGCTCTTACATTACTTGCACTATCAGGAAATCCATTTGTATCTGAGTATCTATGTGTGTGTTTGAGAGTGTGTGTGTAGATAAATCCTTACTCTCCTCAGCTGTATCCCCCCAGAGAAGCAGAGCAGAGAAGCTGATGAGGATCTGAGAAGGTTGTATGGTGTCCACACACAGGTAGTGCGTGCCTCTCACCTCTTGACACTGGGGGGAACACACACACACACACACACACACACACACACACCCCTTAGTTATCAGTAGGGAGGCAGACAAGGAAAAGAACAAGTGGAAGAAAGGAAGAGCAGAAAGCCGTAGGGAGGGATGATGGATAAACTGATAGAAGGATGGCTTAGTAGAAGAGAAGCTGGTGGAAAATACAGAGGAAGGGAGAAATAAGGGGCAAGGGAGAGGTAAGTGGAGAAAATAGGAAGATATAGAAAAGAGCTGAGAGAGTTAAAGAAGCATTTGAGGTGACACCTGAATAGGAGAGGCCAAGACGTTGAATTTAGTAATGTAAGATTAATCAGTCTGTGAGAAAGACAGAGAGGAAGACAAAGCGAGGGGCAGAGGGAGAGGATGCATACATGTCTGGAATGACAAGCAGACTCAGCAGTCTGTACACACAGACATGCAAACACACAAAAAAGTCAAAGAAAAGCCTGAGCTACACACACACACACAAACACAATCACACGCCCACTGTCACTCGCATCTTCAGAGGTGTGTACTGTATATGTTATGCATATGACACAAACATACAGTGTACTACAATACAAATTCATTACATGATCAAGAAGTACAAAAGGAAACGAACACAAGGCACAAGCCAAGAACTACTTTTAACAAAGACACCAGACTTAAATTCTGTTGTCTTGGCCTCACTGAATCAGATCATGGTTGCAATTTATTTTAAGATCATCCTCATTACTTCACAATGCCACCTGTGTGTAATGGAGCGCAAGTTCCTGACAACTGAAAATTTGCATGACTAACACCCCGATTATACCATAAAAGGTATAAAGGTATAAAGTTAATTCATGAAAATGATACAAGTCCTGCTCTCGGAGATCAACAAAGGAAAGTCTATAATTTTAACAGCATCAGCAGTGGAATTAAAGGACTTGCTAAAGTGCCACCTAAGGGTCGCACTGTTGCTGATATCAAGAAGAAGTGGTTTCATATGAAAAGCTAGGCGATTGATAACTGCAATAGGAGGGGTTCAAAGGGAAGTTTCCATCACAGTGATAGACAAAAGAATACGTGCCATAATAGGTGATGTTGCATTGTCAGAGGATGTTGCCCTGCACATCGACCTGCCTTAATGTGAAGATAGGCTGTATGATACATTTAGAACTATATTATAATTCAAACTGTACAGTAAACAGGATGATGTCAATGTAATTTACGTAGGAAACTGAAATTTGCTTTATAGTAATGCAATATACAATCCTTATGCAATATGATATATGACTAGTTTATAAGAAAACTCCACTAGAAGTTATCATTAGTAGGTACTATGTACAGGGTTAGGTTGAATCACACATGACAAATCACTGTATGTGTTCATGTGAAATTCTTGGTGTGCATGCATGTGTATGTTCGTATGTGTGTACTTCAGGGCTTGCTACAGCATATGTCATAGGGAAGGATCCAGTAAGAGAGTGTGTAGATGATCCAGTACAGTTGGTGCCTGTTGCAGTTTTGGACAAGACGGTGCTCTGCAGAAAGCACAGTTAAATTAATAACAATATATCCAATACTAACAGCATTAATATGTCAAAGCACAAAGACATGGAATCATGGGGGAAAATAAATGGAAAGTTAACAAAGTACTAGCACTGGAGACTGAACATGCAGGAATTAGTTACTGGGTTATTTTGTGATACACACTGTACCTTTAAATGAGATTTCTGGATATGATGTGGGTAGATCTGTGGTTTATGGAACACCAAGAGAGTCCTGGAAGAAAAATACAAACTCATTTTATTTTTAAGCTTAATTTATTAGTAATTATAGTCTTGATCAAGCCATTTTTAGGCCCCTTTAGGCCCCAGTATGTTTGTAGTAGTACAGTATATATTTGTGTCTGTGTCTCACTGAAAGCATTTAGCAAAGTCATCCAGCTCCACCCAGGTCTCCTGCAGGATGTGTTTGACAGGGATTATGGGCTCCTCAGTTACATGCACTTTCATTGCAGTTTTGGGCCGATCTGGATAGAAAACAATTTGTAATTATAAATGTATTTATAAAAAAAATTTTGAGTTTGACAGTTGTTATAAAGGTAGCAGGTTTGCAGTATACAGAAGTCTAGCTGAGAAAATGGATCATAAAGCAAAGTACTTCATTCATTATTGCTAATACAAATCAGCAGCATCTCAATATAGGAAAAACCTGTGTTTATCAAGCAGAGTAGCATCCGAGTTGACTGATGCTTGTCACGCCACACTTAATACTAAATAGAACTGCCTGTGAAATCTCCCATTTCAAAATGCTGCGAGTAACAAAATGCCTTTCCTCTTGTGACTCATAGCAAGTTATCCTAGACTCAAATCATTATCTGAAACACAGTGAGCCAAATTGGCCAAACTCCCACATAATGGCATAGTGTAAGCACACATGCACATCCATACTCCCACTCACTGACTCCCACTATCTCAATGCATGCAGAGTAAAATCATAGACATATGCATGCAGACACACTCTCCACCCAAAAAACACACACATGCGCACACACATACACACAGTTGCTCTGCCCCCAAGCTCTTCTCAAAGCAAGAAGTCTGATCAGAAAGCTGAGGCGGTGAGGGCCAGCATCTCTGCTGCTGAGCAATGTTGGTCCGCTAACTCAAACTGCAGGTGTTACTAAGCAACTAAACGGGGGCAGAGAGAAGGCAGGGAATTGGCTCGTGGTCATAACGCATAATTTCAGTCCCATCTTCTTCAAAGTGTCTTGGCCACCCGATGGAAGCATGGGTACAAAGTTGGAGGGAGTGGAGGCGAGAGACGCAGATACTTAATCACATTAATTGGACTTCGCTGCACAGATGCTGTTCAAGCCAGTCAGTAATGAAGACCTTTACATACATCACTTATGCTTCTGCCCATTCTGGTAGCAAAATATTTGAGTTCAGGTTAGGGCAATCTTGTGTACAGATATGCAGATCATTTTCAAAATGAATGAGGGGCCCAGCATTGCAAAGGAACAGATTTTACCATTGGAGATGTCATCATTGTCCTTCTTCCTGTCCTCTGCAGTAACCTAAAGGGAGGGAGGGAGGGGGGGGAAGAGAGAGAGAGAGAGAGAGAGCAGCACATGTGGAGCTCAAGTTAAGACTTTCCTGTTTCCCTCCCTCTGTATTTCTGTGTTCTCTGTAGTTTGCATTGTAAATCAGCAACTAAATAAAAGAAGGTGCAGAGCTCCTTTGCCCCGTTTTCCTCTTTGTTTTGTTTTAGAATAACTCGAAGGATTCGGAGAAAGGTGACGCAACCGTTTCCAGGGTGTGTTGATGGAAATCAGTGTCCAGATCGGCGTCAGCCTGCAGGAGGCCGTGTTATTCCCTCAGTGTGCGTTCAGTTTGCCTTTCAAGAGTCACGCTACTGCACAGACTCACAAAACCAGCCCGCCGACTTTCTGCTGGAGCTGAAGCTGCAGCAGGTGAGATCAGGAGCGAACTAATCTCTGATCAAACCCTCCGTCTCGGCTCATTGTTTATCCGTCTCTCAGCACTCCAAAACGCTGTAAAACCCAGCGAACGCTACCGGTTAGAGACAGTTAGAGACCAGTGGAGACTTAAAGCTGCAAAGAGCAGATGTGTCTCTCAGGATCTTAAAGAGAGGGAATATCAGACTCAAAGGACCAGTGTGTAGGATTTAGTGGCATCTATTGGTGAAGATTGCAACGAACTGAACACGGCTCCGTATTTAATGACCTGGGAATGAGAACAGGCCGTGAAGTGTGATGCCAAAGCTCCAATCTAGAGCCAGTGATTGGTCCATTCTGGGCTACTGTAGAAACATGGCGGACCCGCTCCTTCTATAAAAAGATAAAAACGCCTCATTCTAAAGTAACAAAACCACAATGATTCTCAGGTGATTATGAACCTATGACAACATATATATACACACCATAGATCCTCCTCAATGTTACACACTGGACCTTTAAACTCATCAGACACAAACTCTAAATGAATGATGATGTAGCTGCTGGATGTGTTCAACATATCAACTTAAAAACAAACACACAAACACTATTTTTTTAAAAATTTGATTAAAACAGCATTAGTTTGTGTCTAACTGCGTCTGTCTTGTGTCTGATGCCTTTTTTTCACACTGCGGGTGTTGAAGATAATTTTCCATTCAGTTCCTACTAACTACCTCTTTAACAGACGTTACCAGCAGGAAACACGAGTCCTCGCTGCCAAACCCAGAAACTGAGCACAAAAACAAATAAAAGGAAAATATAATTGAGAAAATTGCTGTGACATCCAACAGATTTTTCTGCCTGTGTCTCAGCCTACAGTCATTCCTTCCTGCCCACACCTCCTCATACCACTGAGACTGCAGCGAGAGTCCGAGGAAGCACAAAACATTCGTCTTTCTGTCCCAAACAAACATCAACAGGCTCCATATTTCATTAAAACTCGAACATGCAAACCATTTTACCGCACATCACTGCAGTCAGCCAGTGTGGAAACAATGCTGCTGTGTTTTAGACATGTGAATCTACTTTTCCTACCACTCGTTTCCTTAAAACATGAAAATCCATCAGCGAGCTCTTGAAGCATTTTTGTTAAAGCTCCACTTTCATCGTGAGCTGCTGCAGCGGATTACACATCTGAAGTCTTGACAGTCTGCTAATTTCATTTTACACCATATACAGCGATGACCCAGCCTCACACAGCAGCGGAGCTACGCCCAGAGTCCACAGGTATACACGGCTGAAGGACTCACTGCTCATTAAACAACAACGGTGGCTGCTAAAGAGGTTAGCATAGCTGCTGCTAGCATCACTTCTATCAGGACAGAGGTTGTTCTGTCTCCCGACCGGCTTCAGAAAGAGTTTGACTAATGGTATGTATGGTTGGTTGATCTGACTGGATGAGCAGTGTGGTTATTTAAAACAGACGACAGACGTTCTGTACAAACCAGAACCTGAAATACAAACAGCCAACGGTAAGGAGCCAGTTCGGCTTCATTATGAGGTCTCGTTTTGACTTTAACAACCAGTGTCCGAAACGTAACTTCTTTTTCTCATTCTACATAATAAATATAGATTAACTACTTCATTGATGCTGATTGAAACATGGAGGTTTTTGTCCACAAACTAAAACGCATCACTGCAAACGGCGGTTTCTTCTCACCGACTGAGTGCGGGACATCG